AGACTTGGATGGGGGTGGGGGCTTCACACACTCTGTCAGATATCTGTGACCTTAGTTATTAAATTATTCTTCGTGTTATCTTAAGTAACACTGAGCACTTTTAATAAATGTGACTGCATGCCTTTCTGATGGTGTTTGACTGGGTAAAAACATATGAGTTTTTCCAAAAATTCTACATTCCATGGTGCATCACTGGAAAAACAGAAAAACAGACTCTCCCCAAACTGAGAGGTCTCTGTTAGAAGCTGAGAAAAGGCTGAAAACATATTTGATTTAAAAAAAAATTATAATAATCATGATTTTCATCGTTGCTTAGCTGTTTATGTTTTTTGTTAAAGGGACAGTGACATGTTTGTACCCTCGTGTCTTTCAAACATGTATGACTTTCGTTCTTTGGTGGAAAACAAAAGAAAATGTCCCAGCTGCTCTTTTCCACACAATGAAATTAGACCGTGACAGTGCCACTCTCTACCTACGATTTATTTTTAGCTGTTGGTGGACTATTCCTTTAAAAATAAACAAATAAATATTAAACAAATAAAAATTATACTTTAAAATATTAAAACTAATTGGCAAAGACACCAATAACTTCATATAAATCATTTGAACATTTTACGTTTTTAAGATGTACTGCATTGAATGAAAGGTTTATTGTGCAACTATTACAGTAATTAAAAGAGCTGATAAATAAAATACTTTTAAAAGTACATAATGACGTCTTCAAAAACTTTTAACAAATTTTAAATGTGTATATCTTGTTGGTTTGTAAGGCCTATAAACCTTCACACTTCAAAGCTTTTTAAGCATTTTTCAAAACTTTCGAACAAGACATTCAAAGTTGATCTTAAATTTGGCCTTTTCTACTTTAAAACGACGGTTATAAGCACAGAACTGTAATATTGCATCCTGTTTGCTACCTCAATTCAAATTTAGCCTAATTGAAATTAACGAATTTAAAAGCATTCTCATTTCAGTTCAGAACGGCACACTGTTTGTTTGGTCAACTTTCAGAGGAGAACTGGACTAGATCTCAAAACTCCAATTTTGATTTCATGGGGGTCTTTATCTGATGGGAAAATGTTCTTATATTAACGTCTGTTTGTCAGGACTTATTACGCTTTTATCAGGTAACAAGCTGAGCCTTGTTGGCAACAGCACAGAATATGAAAGAGGTAGGAGCAGCTGTTTTTCCAATCTCCCATTCACAAAACAAAGAGAGGAGAAATAAAAATATCGCTTCTGTCTGAAAATCTCCCTGCTGTCTTTGGCTACACCTGTGTGATGTTTATTCTCAGGTTTTCCTCAAGCGTCAGCACATGTCTCTGTTACATTGTCATTTGATCTCTTAAACAGTGAATAAACCTATATTTATCTTGAACAAGAAGACAAGCAGGATGATGATTTATGATGAGTACAGGAAACCTTGAAGTGTTTGAGACAAAGACTCAGACAGGTTCCCTCATGTGAACTCCTTCATTGTTGCCACAAAATGAAGAACAATGTGGGCAGAGGACAATAGAGGCGCTACGCTTGAGTAGAAAAATGAAGACAGGGAACTAAGTGAGCTTACAGTGGACCAACACCTCCACATCTTCAAACAGCAATAAAGATTTGGAGAAATTAATCACTTGCTCAGCAATGGATCCTCTGCAGTGAATGGGTGCCGTCAGAACGAGAGTCCAAACAACTGATAAAAACATCACAATAATCCACAAGTAATCAATTTTTTACTTTATACTGCAATTTCTGGCCAAAACAAAAAAAAACAGTTTTGGACTGTTTTCGCGTTTTGATCTCTGCAGATTTTGTGCAGATTTTTTACTGGAGAAAACACTTATGGATAAAGGACTCGTATTTTAGCTGGAAACAATGGTTTGAAGTTAAAAATGTTTTAATGATGGATTTGTTTCTTACAAACACACAGCTTTTCACTTCACAAGACATGAACTGATGGACTGGAGTGGTGTGGATTACTTGTGGATTATTGTGATGTTTTTATCAGCTGTTTGGACTCTCATTCTGACGGCACCCATTCACTGCAGAGAGGATCCATTGGTGAGACAGTGATGTATGCAAAATTTCTCCAAATCTGTTCCGATGAACCAACAAACTCATGTACATTTTGAACGGCCTAGGGGTGAGTAAACTCAGAAAATTCCCATTTTTGAGTGAACTCTTCTTTAATGAATGTTACATTACAGCTCATAATGACAAATGTCAGTGAGAGAAGTGTAAAATAATGTGGCACACTTAAAAGTCTAAACAGACGGAGAGCTGCAATGGAGGAAATGGGTTAATAGGTCATTTCCATATGTTTACAGGCACTGTCCATGCATGATAACCTTCCTGATAACCCGGATGTATCCCCACTACTCCAACTTAACACACCCTGCACATGTATGACCACCATTTTTCAACCGATACATGTTATTATGAAAGAATGTATAGTCGAAAGTCTCCTCTTGCACTCCATTGTTTGGTTATTACCCCTCCTGCATATTTAAGTCAATCATTTGCTAAGGAGAAGTTCTTTGTGTTACACCAAAATATATAAATCATGTGGTGTTCGGTCAGTGAATATCGAATTTTCAGTACTGAGTTATTGAAATATTAAGTTATTGAATTCAGTTTTATTAATAGAACATCTTATCTGTCTTTGTTTGGTTATGGGACAATATCATTACAATAAATCTTCAAAAATGGTTGTCTCACCAAAAACTTTTTTTGATTTGTATTCTTAATAAAGATGATTTTTCTGATTTTTTTTTCAAAAACACTTCACAACAAGGTTTCATTTGTTAACATGATCGAGCAATGAACTATACCGCATCTATTAATCTTAGATAATCTCAGAATTAAATGTTTAAAATCAAAAGTTGAACAAATGTATTTTTGTTAACAAACAACAAAGATTAATACGTATAAAAATAGACTGCTCAGTTCATGTTAGCTAATGCATTAAGTAACGCTACACAATTAGACCTTGCTGTAAAGTGATTTATGTTAATGTACACTACAGGGAAATGTAAATTGATTAAAAGCCACAGGCCTAAGGTAATTTATTTTATGTCTTTTACATTTTACAATGACCCGAATGAATGAAAACCTTCCCAAACACATTCTTTTCCATCACTGGATGTGGGGCTATTGGATTTCAAGCATAATTTGTGCAGATCTGGCCTCGGGCTCCTGTGGCATCTGCAGCGGTTCATTCTTCAAGATGGAAGAAAGGAAGGAAGGCCGAAGAATCGCTGAGCAGACGCGTGACGCAGAGCACACACTCTCCCAAAGGAAAGATAAGACTGCTCTGGGACAGTGCGCAGGAGGGAGTCCTGTCCTTTGACGAAAAGCTGTTTTGTAAATGGATCTGCTCTTATCAAGCGTGAAGAATTTCAGAGCCACCTTTGTTTCACTACTGTTGGCTTATGCTCAGAATCCACCGAGTGTGCCCTCGAAATCAAATTAAAGGCCATAATGCATGAGCTGACATGTTTTTCAGCAAAGCTCAATTATAGTCATTGATCACGCATTACTAAGACAGGAGATGTTTTTAAATGATTTAACCTAATGAATAAAGTTTATGTTTCTTATCCAAATCCGCACTTTAGTACACACATGGTAAAGCACAGTCTTCAAATTATGCCTGAATAAAACTGTCGTGAAAAGTAGAGTAGTATTAATAGGCAATAAAAGAATGAAGCCATGTGCAGATGAGAAGTGTAGACAATTAATTAAAGTGTAAAACAATTCAAGAATAGGAAGTATGTTTATAAAAGTCTTTCTGGTACATACAACCAATGCAGTACACATAATATGGGTTCAGTAGCCAATAGCAGAGCCAGGCTCACCTAATTTGAACTCGACTAGTAATGCGAACCAAATAATGACAGAAAAGCAACTCTCTGCTGACACCTTGTGGTTACTTCAGATCATAGCATCCAGAGATGTGATATATAAATCGGATAGTTCAGTCTCTGCGCCATCTCTCAGAGCCCTTCTTACTCCACTTATAGTGCTATATTTCACAAATATATTTTACTTATTAATAATATCCACTAAACTGTAAATATGCCGATTTGTCTGACTAGTTGTACTACTTGTTTTTTTTTTTGTATGTGTATTTTTGTGTCTTATTTGTGCATTTATATATATGTATGCACTGGAAGCTTCATTAAAAATAATAATAATAATAAAAATAAATCCAAACTCTTAATTATGATTTTGATTGGATAAGCTAATTTTGTGACCACACGTCACGGCAGCACTATGTTGAAATATCTAGTTTAAGGGAGGAATAATCATTTATTATAATTTTACTTGAGGAAGGTGTTTATGAGACGAGCCGCCTCGGGAGCTTCTTATGGGTTATTAGAATAGAAAATATAAATTTAGGTGTAAAATAAGGTTTGTGGCGTGTGGACATTTTCGGATATTTTCACTCTTTGTTCGGCGAATCTGAAGCCACTCTGTTCCTGAAATGCAAAGTAAAATGCAAGTTATCCGGTTACCCCATAGATTGAAAATGCTAATGATCTTTAGGGTGTTAAGACTCAAGAGCACTACATAAATTATCTGTGTGTGTGTGTGTGTGTGTGTGTGTGTGTGTGTACATGGCGGAAAGATCAAACAATCCTCTTATCCTCTTACACGCCCCACTTTGTTGCATTGAATGAACTGTACTTTCGCGGGAAATATCAACTAGGCAGTTTGCATACGCACCGTAGTATAAGGGGTGGATGTTAAGACGCCTCAAACTTTTCGACTTGTTTACAAAGTTGTATGCGAGAAGAACCCTTCATTGTTTTAAAAAAAAAAGTAGTTTTTTCACGGTCTTAATCAATATGTTTATATATTACTGCAATAAAGCGAATCATTAAACGAGCACAGTTAGACGTGCGCCCCTCAAAATGTTCGCTGTAATGGTTTAGTCCACAGTGGCGCGAAACGCCTCGCGCTCTACAGCAGAGTTTCACGTTACAGGCGCGAGGTTGGTGTATCTGCCGGCAGCGTGACTGGACCTTAGAAGAGTGGTTGTATAGTTTTATACTTTTTTTTTTTATTTTTTTGCGAAGAAATAGTCTCAGTTCGGGTGCATTTATGCTATTTGTATTCCGTTCTGCTATTACAAAACGCTTGCGTGTTTGTTGTGTGTTAGCTAATAGGGTCTTTAGTTAGACATATTTGCATTACATATTAAGCTAACGTTACACTGCAGACGTTTGAGAGACACAAGTGCACAAAAGCGTTTACTTGTACAGACGGTTTACCCAGAACGCAGCACAAATGAGTGGGTAAGTGCATTTATTGTGCGTTAGGCGCGAGGTGTTGACAGAGCCATGTGCTTTTATTAACTTCACGTTCACATGTTGCAGCATTGTCAAAGAAGAGACCCGCAGCGTTTCTCCTCACTGCCCCAAACCCAACGAATCTGAGGAACCAGAAGGCACTGCTATGGAGGAGACCGCTATTGGTAGGTCAAAAGTATGATGGCAGACGTGCCTGTGCAAGTCCATGCAGCTTTCAGAGTAATTTCAGTAATCTCCTGCATGTTACAGAAAAAAGCCAGCATGGAGAGATTGTCATTACAAAAGAGATGGAGGAGGAGGAGAAGCATTTAGTGGAGGAGGGAGAGAAGAAAGAAAGAGAAATGATGGAAGAGGTACTGCTTTCTCACACACATGAAAAACCATAAGGCAAAACTTCATTGTCTTTATGCATGCAATATTTGTATCCTTAGCCAGTAATAACTATGGAAATGCATTAGAAATGCTTTTTGTTAAAATGTGGGACCCTTGATTCTCCTCGTTGCCCTGTTCTGCAAAAGTCTTTATATTTTTATAAGTTAAATGTAATTTATTATGGAGTATGGGGTTCACTTTATTAATACTGAATGCTGTTTTAACAGGCCAGACAGTCGTGGGAGAAAGAGTCCCAAGAAATGCGTTTCAGACGACTTCAGCACCTTTTGGAGAAAAGCAACATTTACTCAAAGTTTCTGCTCACAAAGATGGAGCAGCAGCAGCAAGATGTGAGTATTGTGTTTGAAAGACGGGAAAGAGCTGTCACACTAGGAGGTTTACCATTCCCGGATGTAAATCTTTCTTGAATGTTTTCATCTGATATGAATTGTAAGTGGCACGGAAGCAGATGTTTGTGGGTAGAGGGTCTGTGTGTGTGTGTGTGTGTGTGTGTGTGTGTGTGTGTGTACATGGCGGAAAGATCAAACAATCCTCTTATCCTCTTACACGCCCCACTTTGTTGCATTGAATGAACTGTACTTTCGCGGGAAATATCAACTAGGCAGTTTGCATACGCACCGTAGTATAAGGGGTGGATGTTAAGACGCCTCAAACTTTTCGACTTGTTTACAAAGTTGTATGCGAGAAGAACCCTTCATTGTTTGTTTTAAAAAAGTAGTTTTTTCACGGTCTTAATCAATATGTTTATATATTACTGCAATAAAGCGAATCATTAAACGAGCACAGTTAGACGTGCGCCCCTCAAAATGTTCGCTGTAATGGTTTAGTCCACAGTGGCGCGAAACGCCTCGCGCTCTACAGCAGAGTTTCACGTTACAGGCGCGAGGTTGGTGTATCTGCCGGCAGCGTGACTGGACCTTAGAAGAGTGGTTGTATAGTTTTATACTTTTTTTTTTTATTTTTTTCTTTTTTTTTTTTTTTTTTTGCGAAGAAAAAGTCTCAGTTCGGGTGCATTTATGCTATTTGTATTCCGTTCTGCTATTACAAAACGCTTGCGTGTTTGTTGTGTAAGGCTTTGTTGTGTGTTAGCTAATAGGGTCTTTAGTTAGACATATTTGCATTACATATTAAGCTAACGTTACACTGCAGACGTTTGAGAGACACAAGTGCACAAAAGCGTTTACTTGTACAGACGGTTTACCCAGAACGCAGCACAAATGAGTGGGTAAGTGCATTTATTGTGCGTTAGGCGCGAGGTGTTGACAGAGCCGTGTGCTTTTATTAACTTCACGTTCACATGTTGCAGCATTGTCAAAGAAGAGACCCGCAGCGTTTCTCCTCACTGCCCCAAACCCAACGAATCTGAGGAACCAGAAGGCACTGCTATGGAGGAGACCGCTATTGGTAGGTCAAAAGTATGATGGCAGACGTGCCTGTGCAAGTCCATGCAGCTTTCAGAGTAATTTCAGTAATCTCCTGCATGTTACAGAAAAAAGCCAGCATGGAGAGATTGTCATTACAAAAGAGATGGAGGAGGAGGAGAAGCATTTAGTGGAGGAGGGAGAGAAGAAAGAAAGAGAAATGATGGAAGAGGTACTGCTTTCTCACACACATGAAAAACCATAAGGCAAAACTTCATTGTCTTTATGCATGCAATATTTGTATCCTTAGCCAGTAATAACTATGGAAATGCATTAGAAATGCTTTTTGTTAAAATGTGGGACCCTTGATTCTCCTCGTTGCCCTGTTCTGCAAAAGTCTTTATATTTTTATAAGTTAAATGTAATTTATTATGGAGTATGGGGTTCACTTTATTAATACTGAATGCTGTTTTAACAGGCCAGACAGTCGTGGGAGAAAGAGTCCCAAGAAATGCGTTTCAGACGACTTCAGCACCTTTTGGAGAAAAGCAACATTTACTCAAAGTTTCTGCTCACAAAGATGGAGCAGCAGCAGCAAGATGTGAGTATTGTGTTTGAAAGACGGGAAAGAGCTGTCACACTAGGAGGTTTACCATTCCCGGATGTAAATCTTTCTTGAATGTTTTCATCTGATATGAATTGTAAGTGGCACGGAAGCAGATGTTTGTGGGTAGAGGGTTGTGAAGGAGCCAAGCAAATCTAATGTTTCTGTCATGTTCTTTTTATCAGTTCTTAGTGACGTGACATGTGGCTAAGTATGGTGACCCATACTTGGAATTAGTGCTCTGCATTTAACCCATTCAAAGTGCACACACACACAGCAGTGCACACACACCCGGAGCAGTGGGCAGCCATTTATGCTGCGGCGCCCGGGGAGCAGCTGGGGGTTCAGTGCCTTGCTCAAGGACACCTCAGTCGTGGTATTGAAGGTGGGAGAGAGTGCTGTACATTCACTCCCCCACCTACAATCCCTGCCGGTACAAGACTCGAACCCGCAACCTTTGGGTTACGAGTCTGAATCTCTAACATTAGGCCACGACTTCCCCAGTCGTGATAGATAGTGATAGACAGTTGCAGCATACTCTCAATATCAGCTGCATTATTAACATTAGAAAATATATACATTTAGAAATGTATGTTTGTTTGTTTTTTATTACAGGAAAAAATAAAAAAAGAGAGACTGGAAAAGAAAGCTGCTAGTCAGAAGCAAAAGGTAAGTTTGGGTTCATGCTTCATCACATTTTTCTTCATGTAGAAAACTATGGATAAAAGAGTTGTAATTCTCAAATTTCATGATGTATTATTTTCCACAGGGAAATGATAAAAAGACTGTAAAAGGTAGGATTCACAGATTGCATTTCAGTACAGGGTATTAATTATGATGCTGTTATATTAAACTAAGAAAGTAAGATGTGCAATCAATAATACTGATCTTTTTTTTTTTTTTTTTGTGGAGTTGAAAGAAAGAAGCGTGAAAGGGAAGAGGATTACAAAATCGCAGATGTTATGACCAAAGAGGTGAGCCTTCAATTAAATTATTTTTTTCCAAAGACACGATTAATGTCTGTTGTGTTACTGATGTGTATTTTTCTCTCTTAGGAAATTCTGTCAAAAGCCAAAAAACCTAAATTGGAAGAGGTAAAGTGTTTTGCTTTGTTAATTGTGCTTTCAGACATTGTGAAATCAGTATTACCTGTATTGACACTGTTGTAAAATGCAGATAAAACACACCTGTGAGCTTACGTTCTATATTAATGCCAAGTTGCTACACTTCTTGGCAGCCATATACAACCTACACTAGGGATGCCAAATCTAAAAACTAAAGGGATAGTTCACCCAAAAATGAAAATTCTGTCATTAATTACTCACCCTCATGTCGTTCCAAACCCATAAGACCTTCGTTCATCTTCGGAACACAAATTAAGATATTTTTGATGAAATCCGAGAGCTCTCTGACCCTCCATAGACCGCAACGCAACTGACACGTTCAAGACCCAGAAACGTCGTAAGGATATCGTTAAAATAGTCCATGTGACATCAGTGGTTCAGCTGTAATTTAATGAAGCTATGAGAACTTTTTGTGCACAAAGAAAACTAAAATAATGACTTGAGTCAGGGTCAGAAAGCTTTCGGATTTCATCAAAAATATTTTAATTTGTGTTCCGAAGATGAACGAAGGTCTTATGGGTTTGGAACGACATGAGGGTGAGTAATTAATGACAGAATTTTCATTTTTGGGTGAACTATATCCCTTTAGAAAACATTGTTATATTACAGGTTATTGTTGTAATATTTAATCATGTAATTATTGAACATTCAAGTCTTAATACTTGATTTGATCTTTTTTCTGAAGGAGGCTCATTCATCAGTAAAACTGGAAGCTGAGGATATAGAGCAGATGAGCGACACCAACTCTGATATTAAAGGCCGACTGTCTGAGACTTTGCGGGAAAATAGTAAGCAGATGCTGGATCCAGAGAGAACCGTGAATGGCCAACCTGTGCCTGCACCGCAGCCCAAACTCTTCACTGGGGGTGTGATGAGGTGGTACCAGGTGGAAGGCATAGAGTGGCTCAGGGTGAGTGAGATCTGAATAAACACATGACCAGCAGAGGGCAGTATATTTATTCTCCAGTGTCTGGATTTAGAACTGGATTAAATTTTCATCTTAAAGGGGTCCTATTATGCTTTTTCACTTTTTCAACTTTAGTTAGTCTGTAATGTTTCTGTTTGAGCATAAAAAAAGATCTGCAAAGTTACAAAGCTCAAAGTCCACTCCAAAAGGAGATATTTTATTTAATAGAAATAACTTTTCAAAAACTACAATGAACAACTCGTTTGGACTACCACACGCATCACAAATACCGACAAATGGGATGAGACCTGGTTGAGCTGCACTAGAGAAGGTAACAAGTGTTATCACTATGTCTGAGACACGCTAGCTTTCCCATGGCAGACAAACTTAGAGTGGTTACAATCATCCGGGTTTAAATCGCGCTCAAATTGATTTGTTTTTGATGCAATATTTACACTGAAGCTCGCAGGCGGCTATGGTAAGGGGCATGACATTTCCCGACCAGATGCCGAGTGCTGCCAATCACATCACACACTGACCCAGCTAACCGATCACAGCACACACTGACCCAGCTAACCGATCACAGCACACACTGACCCA